CGGATCTAATGCTTTAATTAAAACTGAATTTTGAGCTCATTTTCGTAATGTGATACCACGTATTCTTGAAGAATCGATGTCGAAATATCCTAGGTTCGATGCCGAAATATAGCAAATCAAGTCCGATTGACCTCAAATTTTGCACACAAATCATAATACATCATATGAAGCTATTCAAGACTTCAAATAGTAGAAAGAAGAGTAATAACTCAAATCGACAAGTCGGATCGTTACAATTGGGCTCTAATTTAGATGAAAATCAAGGAACTCTAAATCCTAGTACTGAAGGACTTACGAAATATGATAAAATGAAGGATCATGAGGAGTAATAAAAAATGATTGCTTTGGGTTGTCTACCTTTTTCTTTTGCTTCTTCATCATATCTTATTAGGTATGTTCAAAGGATTTATAATCCTTTATTTAAAGGTATCCCTAGAAATGCTTGTAGATCTAATATCTTTAGACTTCATGGACAATATCATACATACATACGTTATTTGTTTGACCACCTTCCTTGTAGAGTTTCTTTAACTTCTGATATTGGCCATACTGTTAATGGAAATAATTATTTGACAATTATATATCATTGGATATATGACAATTATTATATGCAAAAATGTGTTATCGCTTTTAAATATGATGAAGATCAAAGTCATACTGGTATTTTTATAAGTACTACTATTTGCGAAGTTGTTGCATTTTACAATCTTAATAAAAAAGTATTGCGTATGTCTTTTGATAATACTTCTAACAATAATGCCGCTATTTAAATATTAAGACTATATTTGAAACCACCACTTGACGAAATTTTTCATGTTAGGTGTGCATGTCATGTTTATAATTTAATTGTTAAAAGTGGCTTTATTTTATTTTCGACTGCAATTACTCATGTTAGAAGAGTAGTTAGTGTTATTCAAGGAAATAATAGACAATCTAGAATTAGAGAATTTATGACTAAGTGTACCGACCATAACCTTAATCCCAGATTCATGCTAGATGAAATTGTTACTAGATGGAATTATACATACTTATTTTTAAAATATTGCTACAAATATAGATTGCCGATAACTGAAGTTGCTAATGCGCATTGTACTGATCCAAACCGTATGTTAAAAACTAATACTTGGGAGGCCATTAATGATGTTGTTAAAATTTTACATAAATTTTATACAACTACTGTTGAGTTTTCTGGAGCATATTACCCTACTGTTACTATGGTTTTAGTACATATAGCTGAAATTTCTTTTCTACTATTTGAATTTAATATAATTATTATACAAATATAATTGATGATGTTGCTATTAATGTAGGCAATGTTAATCCCACTATGCATTTGTACTACTTTTACTGTATCTGCTACTATAGATGAAGATGAATGCCTTGATGGTTATAATATTTGGTCTACACTTCCTTCCACTCAAACCAGTAGCAGGAACATTGATGAACTTCAATTCTACTTGCAAAAGCAAACAGAGCCTCGCACAAAGGAATTTTCACCATTAGAATGGTGGCATGAGAATGAAAAATAATTTCCTATTCTTTCCGCTATGTCTCGGGACGTGCTAAATGTGCCAATTTCAACGGTTGCATCAGAGAGTGCATTTAGTCAAGCAAGACATCAACTAGGAGACACCCATCACTCATTGGGAAGCAATGCTTTGGAAATTTTAGTATGTTTCAGAGATTGGATTAGATCGGAACGAAAAAATCAGGGACGTGAAGATGTTGATAAACCAGAAGACGAGTAACTTGGAGATATATTAGCATATGGTAACCCATCTGAATTTAACACTCCAGAAGATGGCCAAGAAGTTCATATTGATTATGAAGAATTTACTAAGGCAATGCAAAACCTTTGAAGTTCTTGATTTATATTTAATAATTCAAATTTGAATTTACTATTTTTTCTGTAATTTAGTTGTTGTAAAATGTAAACTTTAATTCGCAAGTTTGAATTAAAAAAAGAACTTGCAAATTATAAGTTAAATGTTTATCCATCTTCATTGTATTATCTTAAATTCTTAATGAAATATTCAAATATAAGGCTTTTAAAGCCTTTGAAATTTATTTAAACACACTTTTTATAAGATTATTTTTATGTTTTATATTTTTACTTTATCTTAATATAAATTATGATAGTTATACAAAAATCAAAATACACACACAAAAGAAAAAATCAAAAACCGGCCCGACCCCTTAGACCCAGTACTGTTCCGGTTCAAATTTTCACCGGCCAGACACGGATACGATAAAATCGATATTTGAAACCGGTAACCGGCCCAGCACGAAAACCGACCGGTCTCCTTTTCCAATAATCCGGCCCGGCTAAGCCAGGTCCCTTGACACCCTTAATTGCAGTGCATGCTTCTTCGTGAATTTCTACTTTTTAAGGTGAAATTTTCTGTACACTTTGAACTTGGTATTATGGGTTTGCTATTATTTATTTTTGTTTTTTCACCGTTTGCTATCATCTATTATGAAGGTAATTATCATTTTTGAGATTGTGTAATTATAGAAAAACAGTACTTTCGCCTAATTTTTCTTTCTTTTCTTTTTTGTTATTGCGGAGGTTACTGTAATTTTCCGCCACCATCCTTTGCTAAACACCATTTTCGATTTAGCCGCCACCGAATGAGTTTTGCCTGTCATTTTTAGCCACCTTGTGTTTCCATCAAGTTAAATACTAAAACTTTTGAATCAATTTGGTTGGTTTGAAGGGCGGCAGCTACGTCGGCGATGCCCGATGGGACTTGGGAAGGGATATGAAAAGAAAAAATAGTGAAAGAAAGAAGAGAAAAGGAATTAAAAAGAAAAGAAAAAAAAGTGAAAACAAGTAAAATTAAATAATATCTGACGTGGCAAACATTTTACTTCCAAATTGACCATCTTATTATAAGGGGTCGAAGATTTTGCCAAGAAAATGCATTCTCCTATAGTAAACAAAGTTGGATTGTCCATCATTAGAATCTGATCATATGTCAGTAATATTTCCTTAAAATTTTGAATATATGGATGATGATATCATGTGGAAAGTTATCAGACATTCTGATATCAAACTGGTTTTTTGGCTTGAGCTAATATTCCTTAGGGTTAGGGTTTAATATTAGTCGTTTGTGTTTTGAGTTAACATCGATAAACCTTTGATTTTTACCTTAGCTATACCATATTAAACACTTATATATACTCTCATTTTGAAAAATTTTAACTTAATTATAATTTGATATACAATTATAAAATATATACAAATTAGTCTTGAATGAGTATCTATTAATTGTTGCTTTTTATTCTGAAAGAATGAATAAGGGATCTAAATTAGCAAGAAAAAACTGAAAATCTTTTTAAAGAGGTGGGAAAGAATTCAAGAAACACAAGTGGGAGAGAATTCACCAATGGATTTCACGTTGTTGCATGTCACCAGCGAACCGGTTGCTGTTCGCTGGCCGCTATCCACCAATCATTGACATCCATTAGAAAGTTTCGAAACTTTAAATTTAAATTCACATTTTCTAAAATTATTATTCATTTGGATTGTGTGGTATCGCAAACGATCGACAATATCCTTTGGTGCTTATTCTTAATTTAAGGGTGTTTGATGAAGATTAGAGTTGATTCTGGCTAGATTTTCAGATTGAAACTCGTAGAGAAATTAGAACAAATTGTAGATGTGTTATAGTTATATGAAAATTATATTCAAATTGTATTCTATTATAGTTATATTTTTTGTATGAATATTATATGAAAATGATAAATACATAATAATTTCTTTTATACTGTATAAATAGTTGGATGAAGGTTGTATGATATTGTATGAAGCATGACAGACAAATTGTAACTCACAACAGTTTTATTGATATATTAAAATTGTATTAAAAGTGTATTATAATTATATTTTAATTGTACATTATTGTAATTCTATTTAATCTTTGAAATAGGGATTTTTTCCCTACACAGGAGGATGTTGGCGCTTGAAAAAGAAGTAACGGAAGTAAAGAAGAAGAGGGAGGAGAGAGAAAAAGGAAGGCATGTAACTCAATCTCTTAATTAAAGGTGCTAATCTTTGAGTCTTTTTTGAGAAAATATATACAATTTGTATAGTTAATTCGGATAACTAACGAACTTTAGTTAAAGTGGGTAAATAAATTTGTATTATAGTATATATAACAAAAGATCCCCAAAATAATAGGCCATAATGAAACCCGTCCAACATCCAGTCTCGCTTCATTTTTATTTTGTTTTTTAATCTCAATTTTATTTCCAAATTTATACAGTATAATTTTTGGTATACAAATTTGATTTATGTTTGGTTTTGAGTTGTATTTTACACTATTTTGACCCATTTGATCAAGATAACTAACATTCAAAGCAAAATGTCTTGTACTTATTATAATAACCACTATTTATTTATTGTTTGAGTGAAGTTGACATTAGAATTACAGGCTATCCTAACGAATACTGATGCAATATAAGAATTCAAGAAGAAACTAAGCTAAAAACAAAGTTAAGCTAAGGAAAATGAATTAACATATTTCATTCATTGCCTCTCAAGATGGCAAGCTCGATACAAATAGGGGAAATAAGACCTAGGGGTCAAAGTGAAATAAAAGAAACATAGGGGAAATAAAGTAATTACTTATTGGACTGAAATGTAAAAAATAATAACTGATAAGTAAATAACCAACCAACTCCCATGTACACTTCCAGAAACATAAAGTACTACTTCCCACAGCTGATTCATTTTGTTGCTTTCAGTTATTGCAGTAACTTTTTTAGCAAAATAAGTTGTTTTGTTTTAGGATGAATTTTAATTTTAAATTTTTATATATTAGATTGTTTAAGTTAGTATATATATTTTAGGTTTTTTAAATTTTAAATTATGTGAATTTTTTATTTCTAATTGACTATTTAAATCTTTATTATGCTTAATAAAATTATTGAGACACATTTTCAATCAATATTTTTAATATTTTCGCTGCCCATCTTTTAAAAACAAACACATTTCCATATCGTATCAAAAACAGTAAAAAAAGAAAACAGAAACGAACCGCTGCAGCTTGGTGTATGAGAAGCCACCTTTCATTTCATCGCTACTGCAGCCTCCGGCGGCAGCGACTGTGAAACAAACTCTATGTTGCTTCATTTACAAACTCTATGTTGATCCTCCTTTACAGGTTATCCTTATTTCAATTCATGCTTAAAGTTTGATCTTCAGAGTTTCAAAAAGGAGGTCTCGGACTATTAAATTTGAGCGAGTTTCCAATTCAAACAGTAGTGTTCAGAGTTCAAATGCAATCTTAATAATCTCTTGTTTAAAATATATTTGGGGGTTGTAGGGAATAGCTTGAACATCCTTAATGCTCACCATCTGTTTGATGATATTCCCAAATCATCAGGTATTACTAATGAAACAGTGTGGACACCCTTAATGCTCACCATGTGTTTGATAGTAGTCCTCAATTAACGCCGCCAAGCACTAAGCTCTTTCACCTAATTGTTATTTTAAAATTAACTTGTGGAGCTCAAAATATTTTTCTAGTGCTATTATGAGTTTGAATAGTGAAATGGAAAATTTATATTGGGGTTGAGTTTATGGATTTTATAGTCCCTAACTGAGTTGGGTATCAAGATTGAGAAGTTTGATAGTGGTGAAATTTGATCAACTGGGGCTGAACCATAATATTGGTTTTACAAAATTGAAGGAATAGATAAAAATGACTTTAGGTGAGGCTGCCCCAGGGCTTAGGTCAAGTGGTAAAGGTTGAGGGCTTGTGACTTAGCCACTTAGATCACGTGTTAGCCCTGCTGTGTGCGAACTAAGCCTGGTACTTAAGTAGAGAAGGGTAGAGGGGCGGGCCCATTGTTCCCGATTTTCAAAGGCTACAATTGGTCCTAAGGGTTGCTCGCATACGCATTCTTGGTCATAAAAAAAAAAGAAACTTTAGGTGGGAACCGTAGTAGCTTGATCTTTTTACGTTTTAATTTGTATTTTTTTGATTAAGCATTATCTGAATGATAAATGGTGTTTCATGTATACTATGTATATTATTAGACGTCATGCATTCTTAGCTGTAAATGAAAAATATTTTTCGGAGGAAGCTCCAATAGATCTGAGGTTATATTTGCTTCCATTTGAACTACATATGCTCCAAGCTGGTTAAGACTTTATTAGATGTTTTGGTTGAGTTACTTGTTTATGCATAACGGTCCACGCCTTGTGAATGCTGTTGTTTATATTGTGCTGCTGAGTACCTAGTTTATTTCATTTGAGCTTAATAAAATAACTATTGTGGTTGTTGGGAATCGTAGTAGGTTATTTGAGATGGTACAAAACAGAGGAGACAACCGAAATTTCTTTACACTTAAGAGGCTTGCTAGGATGGGTAAAATGCCCCGTCACAACTCCTAGCTGGTTCGTGACAATAAGACTGTACAACAACAACAACCCAGTATAATCCCACTAGTGGGGTCTGGGGAGGGTAGTGTGTACGCAGACTTTACCCCTACCCTGGGGTAGAGAGACTGTTTCCAAATGACCCTCGGCATCCTTCCCTCCAAAAACTCCCCACCTTGCTCTTGGGGTGACCAAGAACTCCCCACCTTGCTCTTGGGGTGACTCGAACTCACAACCTCTTGGTTGGAAGTGGAGGGTGCTTACCATCAGAGCAACCCTCTAAATAAGACTGTGAATCTCTAAATTCAGAAATCAATATATGCTTTTATATGGTTCTCGAGAGTTAAGGTTAATAATTTGCAAGTCGTTTTAGGGATGAAATACCGAGATGCGTTTTATGAAATGAGGAAGATGGACTTGTAACGAGTATGTGGTAGAACCTATTGAATAAAGCATATGCAGTACTAACTGTTGGTGTCACTCTAATGGGAATTGCAGGGAATTTTGAATCTCTGAATATATTGATTGTGACTCGAGGAGAGGAGCAATTGTAACACACAGTCATCCAAGTTAATTTATCCAATGAACGAACTTTTGAAGAATCCAATATTTGCTACTCATGCAGTTGTTGCTGCAGGATCTGCTACATTAGCCACGGCTATCACTTACCCTCTCGATAGCCTTAAGGTCCTTGTGCAGGTGTGGAAATTGATGATAACCCTGAGCATTCACTTAAATTTACTATCTTTCAGTGAGAGCAGCATTTTTAATGTCTCCTTGTAATTTGGTTATATGTTCTGGTGGAATGAAATGCAGGTGGGTTCAGGTGTCAGTAAACAACTCACTGCTGCTGACGTCCTTAATAGGATTAAAACTTTGTCTGGGACTTCAGGTGACTCAATCAACTAGTTTTGTCTTGTGGTAACTATAGGTGATGCTTATCCGTAGTGACAGCTGTTTATATGGACATCTTGCTTATATTTTTCTTAAATCTTTTATGAACATTGAAGGCTTGTATAGTGGTGTGGGGTGGTTGACGCTTGGAAGATCATTGGGTTTGGGAGCTCGCTTTGGTGTTTATGAAATATTGACAGCATTCTACAAAGGTATGATATTCTTCTGTTGCTTAACTTTTTACAACTTTTCTGCCAGTCTTCTGACCAGAAAATCTATGAGGATTTTTGCATGATTCTGTTGGTTTAGATACTTGCCCTGTAAATGGAAGTTCTAGAATGTATAGGAAAGAATCATCGAAAATAATTGATAGAAGTACCCTAAGAAAGGCCATTGCAACATCCATCAAAGGAATAGTTCCCCACCTAGGAGCTACTTTACCATATTCCAAAACAAATGGTTTTAACAAATTTCTGACCTCAGGTCTTCTTAGACAATATCTAGAACTGTTTTCAGTAGTTTCTCTATCTCAACAAAGAGGAATAAGACAACACCATCACTTTTGAATTAAAATAAGATTTCTTTAACCATTATTTTCTCAACTATGTGATTATAACCGTAAATTTTAGATATTTTTTCTATCACTAGTATATTCACACAGTTCCCCTCTATAGATGTTATAATAAAAAGGGTTGAATAATGTTCCAAATTGAACAAAAATTGGTCTACTGTCCATCGATAACTGAACAAGCTCAATTCGGATGGGGGAAGTATGTCTATTCAATGGAACTAGTAATAGCAGCGGAAAAGAAGGGAATGTTGGAATGATGCACTACTATATTATATAAATGAATTGAATATTTTTGAATATAATTTGCTTCTTTTCTCATTATTAGAGGTTTGGGTGCTAATATATTGTGTTTCATCTGCACACCCTTCTTAATCAGATGGTCGAGAAGGCAATTATGTCCATATCTCTGAGGCTCTGTTGGCCGGAATTGCTTCTGGAGCAGTGGAATCACTAATAAGTTCTCCATTTGAACTTGTTAAACTCCGTGCTCAGGTTACTTCTGCTTCCCGAATTCCCAGTTCCATGTCAGTTGTTGAAAAGACTGCTGTTTCGCCTTTAATGTCAAAGTTACTACCAGGATATTCCCCGGATATTAGGGGATTAAACAACACAGTTGGTCTTTTGACCACTCTTCCCACCAAACATCCCAATTTGGTCACTGCCTTAAAAGATTATCCATGGATGATGACAGGGTCTGGGAGACCCCCATCTATCTCTGATGTTAAGAGGCCACTAGACATCATCTCTTTGGAAGGATGGGGTGCTCTCTGGAGAGGTATGAGATCTGGACTTGCTCGGGATTGTGTGTTTGGTGGTATATTCTTTTCGGCGTGGCAATTCCTGCATCAAGCAATGCTTGAATGGAAAGCAGTTGGGATGAATCCCCCACCTAGGTATTGCTTCAATTCTTATGTTAACGCGTTCAATACGTTTGTTGAGATGTTTGTTGAAGAAAAGTTTAGAAAATATTTTAAAAAAAAACAAACAAGTTATTTGAAAAAAGGTTCTTGCTTGGATGACTATCTTTTTCCAGAAATGGTTTGGATTTGGTGTTGTCTAAGAAACAAAAAACTTAATTTGCTATCTTTTACTTTATGGAAGGTTCAATCAAACCCATATTAAGGAATCTACCCCCTTATTATAAAATTTTGAATAATATCCGTAAATCAATATGCATTAAGCTATCAAGGGTTTTGCACCATAGTAATATAAGTTAATATGCTGGAAAAAGTAGCATAGAATGAAATGAATTAGAGACAATGTTGAACAATATAATAGGGAGGAAAGTAGGTGAAGGGGTAACCGTGGTTTCCAGGTTAGTTTGCATGCACCTCGATTATTCCAACTAGTAGTTCCATTCTCCCACCAATACACATACTAGATAACGTTGCCTATCAAGGCTTAGACAAATAAGAAGAAATAACCTAACTTTTTGTTACCTTTTTTTGTGATCTGAAGCATGGTCTCTCATGATTGTTATTCCAGCTTCATTAGCCGCTAGCGATGGCGTTCTTGGTTGCTTAACTTTGTATCATTCTTTATGTGGTCGCAAAAAAAGAGATTAAAAATAATAATAACTAAACACAAAAAACAAAGAAAAAGTCTACCCAGGAGTAAAACTATGGCTCTTCCTACTTTTTCCTTTTGTTACTTGAAACCCAACGTCATTGATTGCTCAACTTGTATCATATAGTTACTGTATTCATCAACATGTCTTCATCACAGGAAAAGTTAATTGAGATGCCTTTTCAGATAACACAGCTGCAATACTGACTAAAAAGAAGTTAATTGAAATGCCTTTCTGACTTTTCATGGTACTAAGCTTCTTTATAAACTCTGCTGAGATGTTCTGGATTTATGTCGCGCATGAAATGGTGTGGTGAATAGAGAATACAATAAATATGTCTTTCAGGCTTGTGCTTTAACTTTGTTGGACTAGCCTTCTAAGTTGCTCCGACACGGCAGTTTAGGTGCCGCACCCGTGTCGACACGACACTAGTAAAAATTCGAGACGAGATACAATTTGATTCCTGAAATTAGAACCAAAACTAGGGTAGATTTAAAGAAAATAGCACACCTTATGTAGGAAATCAATCATTTACTTATCTACAACTTGAGAATAAAAAAGACATCCACACTTTACAAGCTATACGCAAGTATTCCACAAAATTTCTCATAATTTAGAGATATTTTATATTTAATCTTTTTTTAAATATTAGCTGGATCCTCGCATCCGCATCCGTATCCGTATCTTGAAGGACCCGACCTCTAGATCCGCACCCATGTTCGAGCAACTTAACTATTGTTCTAAGCTTGAGTTATGCTTCCAGGCCAAATGGGTAAGGAAAAGGCATAACCCCCCCCC